ACGCAGAAGACAGAGCAAGGTGAAATAACTTGATATTCTAAGGGATATATGACGAGTCACACAAGAATTGGACAAAATCCGAGGAAAAATATTATCAGGTTTTCAAGCAATCACTTCGAATGAACGCTTTTCCCGAGAAATATAGAACGCGCACAAAGGCTTGCAACTTATTCGCCTAATAAAACTAGACCAATTTTGGTATGGTACACTCATTTTAAAGATAAAGAAAAAAATACTTCTTTCTAGCAGAGATAACAAACACCCAATCATTGATGTTGTGCAAGACTTCTGTCCAGCTACTCGACTAGCCAGAAAAAAAATTGGTCGAATCCAAAAAAACACAAAATTTTTCCAGCAGCCTTTGTAACAACAAGCTTGTAGCAGGGAAGAACACCTACGTGTATGACCCAGTTGGGCAACAGGTCGTTCTTCACGCCCCGTAGCAGTTAGCCAGTGGTCGCCCTAATGATGCTAAGGACTAGTTTTTGTTTCGTTTTACTAACATCATTAGCGTATTACCAATGCGGGATAGCTTAGCCAGCTTAATTGATTCTTTCGATTCAAACGTTATAGTACTAACTGACACGTGGCTCAACTCTTCAATAAATAGCGTCGAAGTATTTCTTTCTCATCCTGATTTCAGTGTTTTTCGTACTGACCGTGACAGCCGGCGCGGCGGTTGAAATGTTGTTTGTGTGCTGTAAAGCCGCTCATCCACACGTAAACTTAGGAGCATGCTATCGCCCGCCAGATTTCGACAGCACGTTTATTCCCATGTGCCATGGCACGCTAAATCCTCGAAGACTCAATTTCCTAATGCCACAGTTGTCTTCTCCGGCGACTTTATATTCCGAACATAGATTGATCTGATCTAGTCTTCATCATATCGAAACAAAACATTGAAAGCAACTTTGTCGATACTGGTTTAACGTTTTCCCTAACTCAATTGTTAATGCAACAACAAAACAATCCACAAATTCAGCCAATATGCTTGGTCTTGTATTAACCACCCATCCTGACAGAATCACCTCGATTTCATACCTCGATGGAATCGGCGATCATAAGGTCATTCATGGTTTTTTTTCCAACGTAGACTGAACCGGCCCATGAAAACAAGCAAAAAGCTCACCTTATACAATAAGGGCAAGTATATCAACTTCGAAAAAGAATTCGCAATATTTTGGCAATTCATTTTCAAAAAAATTATTGAAAGATCTTTTACAACAAAATGGTTAATGTTTAAATCCAAAATGCATGAACTGATCAGTACTTACATCCCAGCCATCGAAATTCGTTAACGTAGCACTTCCCGCTAGTTCAATCTTGAACTGAAAAGGCTTAAAAACAAGAAGAAGCGATAATTTCGCTCCGCAGAAAGCACCAACAACGCCGTGGCGTGGCAAATGTATCAGGCCACAGCAAAACTGTACTGCTCTGCTGTAGATAAAGCGATACGACTCTTTAATAAAACAACTTTGCCTATTTTACTCTACACTTCAAGTTGCAGTTCAGCCCTTCATTCCCACCACCATAATTTTAGGTTACACTTATGAAATGCAGAAGCCGCAAAAAGTTTTTCATGGAAGACAAATAAACTTAAAACACAGTTTAACAAAGTCTGACTGATGAAATCGTTTCGTCAGATCAAAAAGTGCGGAAAAGTAAGAAAAAATAACTTTTTGATTTCAGATATAACAACTTCAAAATATCGATACCCAAAATTTACCACAGACTGTTGTTTGTTTTTTCGCCACCTAACTTGGTGGGTGAAAAGTTTGAGAGGATGGGTGGAGAATGACATGTTAATGAGACCTTATGTACACTGAAATTAGGGGCCTCATTTCCGTATGATACAGCCCACAAGGCGTACAGATGAAGTTGTGATTGAGCACAGATTTGCGAGGACACACACGAACAATGACTGCAGATTGAGTGAGCTGGTGCATTATATATTGTACTTCTACAGCACAGCCCAGTTCGAACATCAAAAATGAATTCAATCATGAAGAAAGAAAATACAGGCAACAAACAGTGTTATTGCTCATCCCGTCGTCTGTATTTCTCTTTTCACTCCTGCATCTTTACTTTATGCTCAAACTAAGATGCGCTATTCGCGGCGAGATCATGGTATAGGTGACAGCACCGTTCCTGCGCAAGTGTGGATAGGCCGTCGACGGCGCGTATACACGCAGTGGCGCTTCGTTGCCTGCCGTTTGGGCCGATTGTCGGTGGATAAGATGCGTTGACTGCAGTTTTCTTTTAACATCTGGGCTCTTCCCTACTGAATCGGTGCACGACACCTATGCAATGTTAACATTATCCTCGAGTAAAGCGCATTCTGCCTTTCGTTCGGCTGCTCGCCCTGGGTGACTCTGTTCATGCTTTCGCACTAAATTGTGCCTTTTCTGTGTTGTTTTTATATCGTTAGCTTGTGTCCCTTCTGCTGCACACTGTCATAGCGTGACTGAACTACTTATTTGCATCTTCGTCACCTGCGTACCACAAAGAGAGAGAACGAAACATCGTACAAAGGCCGTATATCTGTGCGATTCAGGTTCATTCAGTACCACCGTTGACACCTTATATGCATATGATTTTTTTCTCATTATTTTCACCATGAAATGTGGGACAGTCAATAAGTCCAGTCAGGAAAGCTTGGTGGCTGACGGCGCTTTGCACAGCACTGCGTTTACCACGTGCACACACATGTTCTTGCACCAGTAGAGATCTTATATTAGAGCACAACAAAAAGCTTTCACCGATGGATTACGTGCATGACGATGTTACAACAAAGGCCTGAATAATGAGGCAAGCATGTTTTTTCTCAGTCAAAATATTATCACTGCTTCCTGTCAGTCCCTAACAATGCCACACCAATGCTGAAAACAATGTAAAATAGAATAAATTTTCAGGCAAATTATATGATAGTGTACATAAGGCATGACGTCTGAAATAATTTTCAACGTCTGGGCTTTTTAAAGCGTTCCTAAATTTAAGCACATGGTTGCGCACGCTAACTCTGTTTTAACAACAGCGTAAATACCCAAGTTTCATAGTTTATGAGATAGTTATATTTCCATGTAGTGGTACCACAGCCAGATAGACACAACTAAGGCTCCTCGCATGATCGATAAACTACAGTGCCGAAGTTGTTCACCTAACAACACTGCGAAAGTGCGTGACTTAGAGCCTGTTTTTTTTTCTTCATTTTTTTAACCAAGTCACTATAGTATGCTGTATTCACACAGCTTTTACCCTCATGTTTGGGAGGATACCAAGAGCGTTTTCGATGTGTTTAAAAAAAAAGCAGCAACTACTCTGGAATTATTCTGGTTAATGCAGGGTACGATGACAATAAACAGCACTCTGGAATGTTGCACTCGCAGATCTTATTACAATGTATTGGCAGCCAAGCAAATGCTTTCGTACGTCGTTTCAGGCATACGTAGAAACAGTTACACTCGCGCTGACATAACCAGACAAACCACACTTTGAGAACGTGCATGACGTACTGCCCATAGAAACACGACGTGGCTAGCAGACGACACAAGGAGCAGTCCACACTTCACAATTTCGGACAGTTGCCGCCAGGCGACGATACAGCTCGATCTTGCGGCCAATAGCATTACGATACGAGCAATGAAGTAATAGGGCTAGCAGGCCCATAAGAAAGTCCCGTGGTGGATATGTTTACTATTTGCCGCGCAAACTACGAAAAATAAACACGACCAATACTGCATCTAGCACCACTTGACACGTAACATAACCAATGGGTACGGAGCGCAAACTCGCCCAAATTAAAGCGAGGATGCTGTAAAGGCGGGCACATTTATTGACCGTGATAACGTTAGCACACATCCCTGAAAATAAAAAAAACTACCTATAACTATTGGAACTCGAAGAAAATAACTGCTCATTCACTTAGCATTTTCAAGAAAACCTTCATTAAAGTGTGTTTTGCGGCAAATTCTGTTCGTAACTTCAGCTTGATGGCAGTACTGGACCTATGTGTGTGTGCCGAGAACAGGAATTTCTTCTTCAGATTAGGAACTTTGCCAAATTATGTTGCGTTGGCTGGAGTGCTACATAAGCATATAAAACATCATAGGAACAGAATAGGTTTCTTGAAAATGCATAGTAATGATGACACTACAATGATCAGGCCAATATACATTAACGGTCATAATACAGCTCGCTGTGATTAATACCTATTTTTTCATAAATAGGCACAGGAATGTGAGCTTCAGAAAAGTAGGTTTTATAAATTTCAAGTCACTAACTGATTCTGCTTTTTTTTCACAAGCTTATCGAGTGAACCCCACTCCGGAACTCTGTCAGAAGGAATGGCGATAGGGCATTAGGCAAGAATGCAGGAAAAGCTGATAACACTGTCACTTTTTTTTGATACGCTTCTCTTGCACCTGCAACTGCATGCCTTCTTGCTTTCATGACGAATTGTGTTGCTTCATAATGATGAATAATGTTTGAGTCAAGCTGTTCTGGAGGATATAGATAATATTGGGGACTCGTAGCCCAGTACGTCAGACAGACTTCTATGTCATATCAAAACAGAACCACAGTCTAAAGCGAAAGCTTACTCTATTATAATTTCTTTGATATTTTACTTCCAGGCCATATATTATTACGTCTATCCTTGCATGTGCACTTTTTCCGGCACGTGCTTTCCGGCTGCTATTAGTGAAATCCCGTTTGCAGGTGTACGCCACGAAACCGGATGAACGTACAGGTCGCAACTCGACGATGCTGTTATATCAAGGTGCGCCTGTCTTTCAATATGCAGTATTTCCGGCGCCCGTCGGCCGGAGGCACTTATGAACGTCTGTTCTGCAGGCATTCGAGGGCTTGACAAAGAATGAAACTATGGAAAGTGTAGGTGACGTTTGCTGTAATAATTGAGATAAATATTGCGAAGAAATAAAGTGGACAAAAAGAAAACTTGTAGCACACACGAATCAATCCTAGAACCTTCATACAGCGCGTCCGATGCTTCACCGAAGCTCTACGGCGACGGTTGTACCCAGTTGATTTTAGTGAGTATATAGGAGCATATAAGTCAGCAGGGCGTATTTCATGTTAATCCAAGCGCTAGTATACCTGGGGCAGTCTTTTGGGTTACTATTGCTAAGCCATATTCAAAACTTGATGTTTTTGTGCTGTTATTATACAGTTGCAGTTATCACAATTCTATGAATCAGCGATTAATCATATCTGGGGTCGCTTTCGCGTATTTTGAACACCGTTGCCGGACTATTCAGTAAAATCAAGTGAACTTCAAGGAGACTCAACTATTGGTCCTTCCCTGGAGGAAAATCTTCGGAGTCTGGACTGACGCGACATTAGCACGGAAAGCCACATTAGCCCCCCTGCAGCACGTCGAGACAAAATAATATAGCGACTGCTTATGAAGCGCTTTCCTCTGCGTGCATTGTAGATATTGTCTACAGTGTTAAACACATAGGAAGAAAAGGGGTCTGCGGCTCACTTCTTTTCGGAGTAACTGCAATGCCACATATAATACTTCCTAAAGAATCACAGTTTCGTCTTATAAGGCGTAACTGTCGATGTGCTGAGCTGTTACTTCTCAATAAATTTAACGGTAAAACATGAAGCTGTGAAAGGTACCACTTAGTCGGGCTAACTAACTCGATAATATTAAACAGTGTGGTGCTGAAAGAGTATACCATGCATGTGAAACCAGGCAGCTCGCGAAAGCCTCTTAACGTTTTGTAGTCTTGGTTATCTTTCTTGGTGTAACGGCGTCCGAACTAACTGCACGCAAACTTCCCGGCAAATGCACACGACGTACATACTACCCTCACAAATAAATAAGAAAAAAAAGCAGCGGAGGGGGTCTATTCAATTGCTTTCGCAATGAAAGTCGGAGTGCTGCAAGTCTCTTGTGCGTTTAGTGGAAAATCTATGCTGATGAAAGACAACACTCAATAATATTTTGTATTTTGCTGAAAATTCCTGACTACATCTAACATTCTATTTATTCAGTCACAGGCCTCCGCCATCTGCTTGTCATATGTAGCGGACATTGTAGCGTACATTCAAGTTCAACTGCTAAAAGTTCGCATAGCCATAGCTGCACACGCAGCTTGCGTTGCCCCTGTAGGAAGCTGCACTGATAATTTGCATTCGGCACTGCCTGTATTTGTTGGTATTTTTTTTCTGCCAAACGGGCGCGTTCATACTCGTTCGATAAAACGGAGGCCACCCTTCTTCGGTGCTCTGACCTGATGGCCCAAGAGGCTTTGGTTGAGCAGGCCCGAGCCACTGCCGACGCCAATGGGCTGCCGCAAAGGTGTGCTCACATAGTGTTTGTACGGGGTGGCCCCTAAAGAGCATTACCCATCCTCCCCTTGCATTACACACCGAAGTAAATGTTTTTCGTCATCGTATAGCAGCGGGCCTAAAATAATTTTGACGAGGCTGCATGCCGCTGCCCTAGAAGAAAAAGAGACTGCTGTCGGTATCACTTTCTCGGGTCGAATGGCGCTAGTGGAGTGTAGGTTGCCTTCGCTATTAAACGCTAGCAAATGGTTCTTTCCCCTATTAAATTTTTCTATAAATGGCTTTCATAGCAGATAACACAAATACCCTCTACCATTTTATCGCTAGATCTACACGTAAGATAATTACATTTATGGTGTCCTTTTTTGCATATCGGTAGGTTTGTCATAGGTTCACCTGTCTAGGGCCTACCAGGACGGCAACGCCTGATAGTAAATATACCATCGGTGATTTACTCCTTGGCAGGCATGGGTTGGCAATTCTTATAATGCTATAGTACCTTTTTGGCTAGAGTTACTTTGCAGTTTTACCAATTCAAAGGACAAAAACTTTATTTAAAGGTTTGACGCACTGATTTCATGAAATAACTTAGGCGTGCTCATCTAGATAAAACAACTTTCCATTGAATGGTCCACGTATGCGATGAATTCATTTCCAGAAGCACAGTTTTATAAGAGATTGGTAGAAGAAAAAGCAATAAAACCAAGAAACCTAAAGAGAGCGGTTATAGAAAATTTTGATTGGAAGACCAATATTTTCTTGAAAACTCCTCATGTTGATCGAGCAATGCTCACTGCAGAAGCTCAAGCGAATAGACTGACGGCTACGCGAGTAGCTCACGAATACATGAGGCTTTCAAGTATGTGTTTTTATGATGAAGTACACATTTCTGTAACTCTCCAGTGAACAAAGGCCTCTACTGCCTTTATCCTCTGGCATCATTGTTGCGCCACACACACAGACTCTGTCAGCAGAAAAAAAAGGCACGTGTAGGCAAAACTACAACAGAAATAGATAACACGATCGTTGTGCATTTTGCCTTCCTGTTCTTGTCTAGCCGCCTTTGCATGCTTTCTATTTTCTGGTGATTTCCTGCCGCCAACTACCACTATATCATTCTGACAGTCCCACTTGTGCATGACGTTATTAAAAAAAACATAGGATTTTTTAATGAACCGTAATGACGCACTTCAAGAAATAAAGACAATTTTTTGTGTGCCAGGTGCATACATTAGATGATGTACGGCTATTCACTATGAGATGCACCTTGTGATGAGGAATTGCGCAAATTTCTTTGTTTGGTATGGGCATACCTAGGCATAGAGTACTTACAACAAGCTCTGCGGAAGGCCCACCGTGCCTATTTATTCCCAGTAGGCCATCGCAGACTTCCATCCTTGCGACGTCCACGAACCGGAGCGGACGCAGCGACTTACCATTAACAAGTAGGTTCACTCTGAAACTCTTTTTCTTGAGTTGTACACCTTACAGGCAACTTTTATGTACTTTCAGCAATGACTTATTTACGTCTGTGCGCCACGGTGATCTTCTGCGCGTCACTTCTTGCGCTTTTGATAGGTGAAGTAAAGCGCGTGGTTTTTTTTGCAACACGATAGCGTGCTTAATGACACACTTTAACTGCCAAATATCACAAACGCAGAGTAAAAGAACACACAACGACACGCACAACTGGCTCGTCGTCGTTTCTTTCTTTACACTGCGTTTGTAATATTTCACTGCTGAAGTATGTCATTAGGCAAGTACCAACTAGGCCTACAGTCAGTCTTGATGTGAGAGTGTGCGCTCGGGAAAATCTGCAGACTTGGAAATAGGTGGCACGTGATTGACAACTGTATGAATACTTATACAAAGAACTTTCTAAAAGACATCCTTTGAAGTGCCCGGCCTGAATGTGGTAACTCAGGCTGCTCCCACACCACGATGGTTAGACCCAACCTAACCACCACATCACAGGCCTTCTGGGTAGGCGGAAGCTGAAGACAGTGTTTTTAGCTCTTAGTGCCCATGCCTCAGTGCTTCATTAGTAATGCCCTTGTCCTCTCATAACAATGGTCACCACCAGAAGATGTTATATATATTTGACGGGTCCCCAAACTGTAACACTGAGAGCAAGAACGTTCTGAAAAATGCAGTACGTGAGGGCTAGACTAAGATACGAATCAGTCTGAAGCATCATTAGGTTGGTATTGGGTGATCATGTGAGTTTTTTAAAGGGGGAGAACAATACTCTTCTACATATGATAATATTTAGTGAATACATAATAGGCGAATGGAGTGTCTCGAAACCCTTGGACATTGGTCTGTCACTAGGCTCCTCCTCCTGCATTAAAGTTACTGGAAGTGCCCGAGAGAGGCCAATGTGATTGAAGTTCGTGATCGCGTCTGTCTTTAGGCCCAAGTGGCGCAGGGATGGTGTTATAATCTTGTTTCTGTTTCACTAACATGTGGTCCCTCAGCGTATATGCATGTTGTGAGAATACAGTAGAACAGGGTAGTTCAAAGCCCCATAATTTAGAAAATCAGATGATGTGGATTTGTTACCTGGTTCTGGAGAGCATATGCATTGCTTGTTGGCATCAAACACTCACTAATTCGGTCACGTTGGACACCAGCGTGGTACTTCTGTGTAATCCTAAAAGCGCGCAGAGCGAGGGGCGCCGAAAACGTGCGATGACAAAGAGCATAAACAGCGTTCGCTGACAATCCGAACGAGGTGGCGCTATTTGCATCAATATGCAAGTCACTTGGTCCCCGCCGTTGTGACCGCCTAGACGAGCTATCAGTTCAACGCCAATTTAGCCGAAAAAGAACTATTCTGGCGTGCGTGGTAGTGCTAATGGTACTTAAGCAGGTACTAGCGGAACACGTTTGGAATAATCAAATAAGAGAGCTTCGTGCCGTGGTTACATTAAGATGACATGAAGTCACAGGATTACGAAAATGGTAGCTTTCGCTCTGGTCTTATGAGCAATAGGTATAGTATTCGCGTTTGCTTGAAGAAAATGAAAATGTATTGATGTATCACAAACATTTTTCTTTTTTTGTACCTTCATGCTTTCAATGAATCGCAGTACAGCCGATTCGTGCATTTCCTGCGCTCCCGTGAAAGTCTGGTTAACGATGCCCTTTCCTGTACAGCCGACGCTACAATTTGATTGCATATCCTATATATGCACGGGCAAATTGAAACAACTTCTGAAAATTATACAGGAAATAAAGTCGAGCAAAAAAACTCTTACTTCAGCACTGCAAGATTTCGCTACTTCATTTTTAGCGGAGTAGAGGATGTATATTTTAACAGCTTCTCATAAAATATTGTTATGTTTGAAAGAGACCGGTAGAGGTTGAAAGGGGCCGTTTATTAGGTCGTGAGGGGCAGCCCAGCAGCGGCCGACTGGTTAGAGATTCTCCTGCTTCTATTCTTCTTTTCTCGCTCCGGGCGACAAGGTGCGTTCACCTGTATACGCTTCGTTGTCTGCGTGCATGTGCGCAACATTCTCTCCGGGCAGACGAGTTGTCATGGCGTGTACAGTTTCAGGCGGGCAACATGAATCACTTGAATTTTGGCAGCTCGTCGACCACTCGCCGTAGGACTGAGCTATTACTTAGTTGACCTCTGTAAGTCTGTCAACAATGACAAAAGGTCCATCGTAAGTGGCCAAAAGCTTTTGGTATAACCCGCGCTTGCGCATCGGAGTCCACAGCCTCACCAGATCGCCACGGCGATAAATCACTAGTCGATGGTGAATGTCATAGCGTGCCTTCGCTTTGTCTTGCGATACCAATGTGCGCAGTCGAGCTATGCGACGCGCCTCTTCGGCGAGGCAGAGAGTCTCGGCGACATTGACGTTGCCGTGATCACAGAAAGGTAATACTGTGTCGATCATAAGCCGGGGCGAACGTGCATAAAGCAAAAAGAAAGGGCTATAGCCTGTAATCTCATGCTCCGCGGTGTTAAACGCGTAAGTAATGAACGGGAGTACGTCATCTCAGTTCTAGTGGTCGCATGAGACACTCATAGACAACATGTTGATAATGGTGCGGTTGGTACGCTCCGTCAGCGCATTAGTTTGGGGGCGGTATGGGTCGAGTGACGCAGGCGGGATTCGCACAAACGGAGTAGCTCCTCCTCGACATCCGCTGTGAATTGTCGTCCACGATCAGAGATAATCAGCTGAGGTGGGCCGTGTCGGAGGATGACGTACTGTAGCAAAAACGACGCGACTTCACTGGCAGTTGCGGAGGGGACGGCCGCCGTCTCGCAGTAGCGTGTGTGGTAGTCGACGCAAACATTATCCATCGGTTGCTATCTTGATTATATTCTTGTGTGGGGGAAGACTCAGTCTGAGCTTGACGCGAGCCTTATCGCAGTTTTGACTTGTATAGCAAACAGTGTCATGAAGTTAAACGTTAATTTTTTTCCGTCAAGAAGCTCTGTTTCTTAGGACACAAGATTTTAGCCGAGGGCCTTTTCACCTTTAAACAGTAAAGTGAATGCTATCGTGAATGCTCCAACTTCTACAGACATTAGGTCATTGCGCCCATTTTTGGGGCTGACAGGCTATTATGCCAAGTTCATAGATCACTATGCAGATGTAGTCGAACCACTTCGTCTCATGCTCAGACAGGGCCAAATATTTTGTTGGTCGGAGAGTGCTCAAGGCAGCTTCATGCAGTTGAAAACGCGCCTTACTTGCTCACCTGTGGTAAAGGTGTTTGATCCTGATCTACCTGTGGTAGTTACAACCCATGCATCTGACGTTGGTACGAGAGCAGTGTTATAGCAGCGGTATGGTCCTAAGCTTGAAACTGTAGCATTCGCGTCGAGAACCCAGTCAGAAACTGAAAGAAAATACTCTTTGGGCGAACGCGAAACGCTGGCGTGCCTGTTCGCTTGTGAAAAGTGGCACATTTACCTTTGGGGTAGGCGTTTAACTCTTAGAACTGACCATCAAGCAGTAGTTGCTTTTTTAGCAGCAGGAGATGCCGGTCGTCGACCGTTAAGAATTTGAAGGTGGTCAGCTAGACTGTTATACTACAATTTTGATGTAGAGTAATAAAAGGGCTTGGAAAACGTTGTGGCCTATGCCTTGTCTATACTGCCATTACAGAACAGTCCAGAACTTAGTCAGGAGAAGAAATAGTATCATTAGTTACATCAGTAGTCGATAAGGAAATTGTGCAGCTCGCAACGAGTACGGATGAGACATTACGGAAAGTATGTGAGTATGTATCCAAGCGTTGGTCATCAAAGAAACCAAATAATGACTTAATTGCATATTTTCATTTAAAAATGATCTCTCTTTTGTAGACGGGTTACTCATGCGTGGTGACCGTGTAGTCATTCCGAATACCTTCATAACTACTTTCATGCACGTTAGCACATGAAAATCATGAAGGAATAGTACGCACTTAACAACTCCTTCGTGAGAGATATTGGTGGCCGCAAATGGATCGTTCTGTAAAGGAATATGTAAAGCATTGTCATGTCTGTCAGCTGGCAGATAAGTCTGCCAAGCCTGGTGTGGCGCCTTTGCAGCCAGTCGAATGGCCAGACGGGCCGTGGAAAAAATTGGGTATTGATATTGTCGGCCCATTAGATGTGCCTTTTCCAAGGTATCTGATAACATTGGTGGATTACTATTCTAAGTGGCCCGAGGTTCTTGGAACGAATAAAATATCAGCAGAAGACGTCATTAAGCTGTTGGACTTGTCATTTAGCTGCGAAGGGCTACCAGAGGTATTAGTTATCGACAATGGTCCACAGTTTGTGTCACAGCAGTGTGAGAACTATCTTAAGGAAAAAGGCATTCGTCACGTGTTGTCGTCAAATTATTATCCCAAGTCCAACGGTCAAATAGAACGCCCGAATAGTGTTCTGAAGGTACATTTACAGGTAGCTAGACTTGAAGGTAAAGATCCAGCAAAAAGCATCACAGAATTTTAGAGTTCATACATAGTCACTTCACATGCGGTGACAGGTCTTTCGTCAGCTTTTTTGCTGCATGGCCGTCAACCTCTCTCTAAAATAGACATTAGCAAGTTTAGAATACATCCTCAGCTATCGGGGTTACAAGCTCATTTGCCTCAGGTTCGTATTAGAGTCTCGGAAAAACAGCAAAATCGTGAAGAATATTTTGATAAAAGGAAAGGTACTCAGAAACACCGCATAAATGTAGGAGACTTAGTTAAAATAAGGTTCCATTGGAAAGGAAACTATAGGTATAGCAAGCCTCATAGGGTGCAGGCTCAGGTTGCACGTTTCACTTTTGTGCTAAGTGATGGCATAAAGTGGAACGCTTCCAAGCCAACAGTAATTCCTGAGGTTTTTTTTAGAAGGCGGCTCGTCCTACCCCACCTAAAGAATTATTTTCCCTTATTCTAACATAGACAGTTGTGATAGTCAGCCCCTTAGTTCACCTGCTCTAGTTGCCTTTCCCCCCAAATTTTCAAACAGACTCTAGATTGTCAGAGCTCTCAGTTAATTAAAGTCTGAATCAGTGGTTCCACGGGGAACGTTGGGATGTCAAGAGGATCCTGTTGGGAAACCCATGATA